CCCTTGCACCCCCGGCCCCACACCCCGGCACCCCCGCCCCCGCACCAGTGGTGGGTGTGGCCCCGGTGGGGGGTCCAGGGAGGGGTAAAAATCATTTTTTTTAATTTTTGGCCAAAGGGGGCAGACCCGCAACAATGAGCAGAAGTGCACGAGGACGATGACGAGCAGGACAACTAGGACGAGACAGGGTAACATCAACTCCCTGACATGGTCAGTCATGCAAGTGCTTGCAGAGCAAAGTGGAAGGCAGTGTCGACAGTGTGGCTTTGGCATTGTGGGTTGGCACGCATGCTCCTGCCTGATTTTCCATTGCCTTGTAGTACACACGACACCACTCATGTTCGCACAGCTAACCCAACAAACCACCACCCACACCTTCCCAACCCCGGCCCTTCCCCTCCCTCCGCACGAACGTTAAAATTTTGAAAACAGTGACCTCGCAATGGACTTGCTTAGTGCGGCAACGGCCTGAGATGCCCGTGGTACCGCAGCTGGGACAATGACCTAAATTGACTGGGGTACCACTGCTTTCCCCGGCCACCAGCAACGGACTGTATGCTGTTCTTCGAATGGCCGCCAACAAAAAATAGCCATGATCCAGGAACAGACGAAAATGTGCAAAAAGCAAAAAAGTAAGAATAAAAATACCCGGTTTCCGCCGCTGTCCGAAGGGTGCGCTCTTGAACTCAAGTCACCTCCGAGAGAGGACTTGAATTCAAGGGCGATTTCGGCTGTGTCGCCCTTGAGTTTCAAGGGCGCACCTTTGGGATGCCAAAAAGTGAAAACAAAGAGGGTCGCTCTAAGGGGGCGTGGAACGATGAGTTTTTGCTTCGGTCTTGAACTCAAGTGGTATGGAACGAGGGCCTGATGGCTTGTTACATTCTTAGGACTGGAAGTCAGCAGTACCGACCTCCGCAGGCGGAAGACTGTAAGCTAAGCTGGCTGACGCTGTCAGATAACCCGGGTTGAAATGTGAGGTCCCGGCCTCGAGTTGTCATTTGGAAAAGGTGACAAAAAAATAAATAAAAAAATCGATGAGTAGGAGGGAGGCCGTGGTGGAGAGAGGCCCTACCTATGCCATGATCTTCCTGCCTGTAGACGACAAGGTGATGCAGATCTGGAGCTGACCTGGAAGGGGAAATATTTGCCGGAAGCAAAGAAAGAAACGGAGGCAGGGTTGGCTTCGCCGCTCCGGGCGAAGGTCCCACCTACCTGTATTCTGTATCGTCGGCCGTCTATTACAGAGATCTACGGTCACGATCTACGAAACCCAGGAAGTGGGATCTCACCTGAATCTGGATGTGTTTTATGCATGCAGGAAAGCAGATCAATCCCGATTTTCTGCACCTTTCTGTAAAAACGTGTCCAGAACCGGGGGCAAAATTCAACCCTCTTTGCTTCGCTTGTGCGACCTCGCCCCGGCGTAGGAACGCCTTCTTCTTTTTTTTTTTTTTTTTTTTGGGGGGGGGAAATTCTTCCCTTCTATATTCTTCTCGCAACTTCTTGCCTTTCACTACCTACCGACCCCTAAGGCTATCTATAGCCTTCTTTCCTTCCTTCTATATAATAATGTAATACAATTTGCCTTGCAAAAGCAAAGCATAACCCCCCAGCCGAACCGGTGCCTTGTCTCTGGTAAAATTACATGGGAGGTTCACTATGATGCTATGCTAACTACCAGTCTGGTTTTTTTTTTTTTTTTTTTTCCCTACCAGTCTGTTCTGACCGTGACCCTTCCAACCATCCACCACCAGCAGCACCAGGGCCCAGGTCCCACACTAGCAAAGAGGATTGGATTAAGTTCCCGAATCTGGACCTGTTGTAAGCAGAGATGCAGAAAAGCAGTTCAATCTCGATTTTCTGCACGTTTCGACAATCACGTCCAGAGTCAGGCATTCAATCCAAATCCTCTTTTCTAGTGGGACCCTCGCCCCAGCCCCAGCCCCAGCCCCAGCCCCAGCCCCAGCCCCAGCACCAGCACCAGCACCAGCACCAGCATGCCGTACAGGGGCAAGGTCCCACTTGCGCAGATTAGGAGATTTCGGCCGTTCGTATTTGCTATCTACGGTCAGTATCTTTTAATTCGTGCAGGTGGGACCTACCGTCTTCCCCCGAACATAACGCACCCTAAAAATGAATGTATACAAGGTATATTCGGCCAGATACAGCAAATCCTCTTTTCTACCCACTGGCAAAGAGGATTGGATTAAGTTCCCGAATCTGGACGTGTTGTAAGCAGAGATGCGGAAAAGCAGTTCAATCTCGATTTTCTGCACGTTTCCACAATCACGTCCCGAGTCAGGCATTCAATCCAAATCCTCTTTTCTACCTAGCTAGTGGGACCCTCGCCCCAGCACCAGCACCAGCACCAGCATGCCGTCCAGGAGCAGGCGCCGAGGGCCTCGGTCAGGCTTGGAGTGAGCGACGGGAAAATGGCGGGGCGGTTGCGAATTTGGCCCTGAGCGGCAAGCGGACTGAGCGACGGAAGGTTGGGCGGGTAGCGCGCGGGGCGGCGCTGCGCTTCGCTGTCGATCGCGCCCGCGCGATCTCCCACGCTCTACCCGCGCGCAATGGGAGTCCAAACCTGGATGCTCTGAGGTATGAAAAGAGGTGAAGCGAGTCAAGACGTGCCACGTGTGCACGCAAAGTGCACCCCATTGGCGGGGCAGTACTCCCTTCCAGCTCCCTTCCAGCTTGCGTTGAGCATCGAACTTGGCTGCTGCTGCTGACCAACTTTCATCTCGCTGCTGCCCGCGTACCTGTTTGCCCTCGGATGCCTCGCGAGGGGAATGCGAGACGGCACGTCTAAGGTGCCAGTTGCGTCCACGTGGCGGTCTGTCATCGGTCCACGTGGCTTTGGTGTGTGCTCAGGAGTGAGGATATCGTTAGGCGGCGGGGCAAACCTTGATAGGCGCGTTGATGGTGCACACTGCTTCCTCTCATCTCTCGATCGCGTGCCCCGTCGATTTGATTGTCTTGATTGACGGCGGCGGCGTACACTCAAGGAGTTACCAATCAATCAGGTGCTGGCTGTAACGAGTACTTAGGAGTGAGGCTATTGTCGGACGGTGGCGCAAAAGCCCTGATGGGCGTTGATGTCATACGCTGGTTCCTCTCATCTGTGTCGCGTGCCCCGTCGACTTGCTTGCCGTGATTGACGGCGGCTTCTCAAGGAGTCACCAATCAATCAATCAGGTGCGGTGCAGAACTCTCCTCCTGCTCTTCCTGTTTGTCCTCCGGATGGTCTTACAATTCGCCTATGGTCTCCCCATCTTCACGTACTTGTGCTTCTTGTCTTGTCTTCATCAGCAGATTACCCTCCTCTTTCTGCTTGTCCTCCGGCTGGTCTTACAATTCGCCTGTGGTCTCCCCATCTTCACGTACTTTAGCTTCTTGTCTTGTCGTCATCATGTTCTTGTTGTTCTCGCGCCGTGTCTTTCTCACGGAGGGGTTGATTGAGTCCGGTACAGGTTGTCCTCTCTCTTTCGCTCTCCCCCCTTCTTTATCCTCCATCCAGCTACCTCATCACCTAACCTTCACCATCCTCAGCATCCACTCCTCGCCGTCTACTTCACACATCTCGCGCGGCTTTTGTTTCTGCTTCATGCTTGTTTGTCTTGCGTCCTCTCATATAAGCACGACTCCCTCCCCTCCCTTCCTCTCCCTTCTCTTCCCCTCCCCTTCCTGCTTTTTACGGATGGATTGATAGCATGTGATCACTTTGATGGGTATTGGATATTGCGGCTTTTGTTTCTGCTTCGTGCCTCTGTCTCTTTGTCTTGCGTCCGCTCTATAAGCACGACTCCCTCCCCTCCCTTCCCCTCCCCTCCCTTTCGTGCTTCTTACGGATGGATTGATTGATAGAATGATCTCTTTGATGGATACTGGATATTGGCATGTCTCTCCACGTGGCATAGGATGATTGCTTCGGTGGATTTTGTGGCGTCTTTCTTCACGTGGCACGTGATGATCGGTTCGATAGTTTTTGGCATTTATCTGACGGTGGCATACGATGATCGGTTCGGTAGATTTTGGTATTTCTCCGTGCGCCATATGATGATTGCTTCGATGGATTTGGCGTTGGCGTCTGTCCAGGTGGAGATGATTGCTTCGACTGATTTCGGCATCTCTCTCCTGCACGTGGCATACGACGATGGCTGAGATGTTGTTGGCATGTGGAGATGATCTCTTCGATGAAATTTGGCATGTCTCTCTATGTTGCATACCATGATGGCTGAGATTGATGTGGCATGTCTCCATGTGGCATAGGAGGATAATTGTGATGGACGTGACTAAACGCTCTTCGGGATGTCTCTTCTCTGCCGTTTATCATCGTGTTTTGTTTTGTTTGTTGTGTGACTGTTCGGTCCCTCCCTTCTCATCTTCCATCTTCACTCTGCGCTTCTCCCTCCTTTTCGTCTCATGATCTTCCTCCTTTACGGGTCTGTTTCATCATTCTCGTACTTCTGTCGCTCCTCTTTTCTCTCTTCTTTCTTGGGGTGTTTTCTCCTCTCCCTCTTCTTGCTTATCTCACCTTTCATCAGTTTCGTCCTGTGTTGTGGAATCTCTTGCTCCGTCGTTTGCCAGGAAGAAGAGCTGGATGAGCCCTTCCGTACGCTATTTCGATCAAGTATACAAAGACGTCGAAACTTGAGGAAGGCTTAGCCGTCGGCCATTTGTTGAAAACCTCTCGAGACGAGAACAGTACGAAATTGGAAAAACAGTTGACTTGATGGTATACCACTTCGTGTTTTCCCAATTTCGTCGATTTGTTGTTGCGCGAGGAAAAGACCTCTCGAGACGAGAAGAGTTGGAAATTGGAAAAAGACGGAGTGGTATATCATCAAGTTGAACCTCACCCCCCGAGAGAGAGAGAGAGAGAGAGAGAGAGAGAGAGGGAGAGAGAGAGAGAGAGGGCGGTTTTCTGGTGTCGTCAATGCATTTACAGCATGCCACGGCCGAAAAGGGGGGGGGGGGTGATGATGTTTTTGTATATTCTTTCGGATGGGCCTTCGTGCGGACAGAGTAGGGGTGTGTGTGTGTGTGTGTGTGTGAGAGAGAGAGAGAGAGAGAGAGAGAGAGAGAGAGAGAGAGAGAGAGAGAGAGAGAGAGAGAGAGAGAGANGAGAGAGAGAGAGAGAGAGAGAGAGAGAGAGAGAGAGAGAGAGAGAGAGAGAGAGAGAGAGAGAGGGCGGTTTTTCTGGTGACGTCAATGCGTTTACAGCGTGCCACGGTCGAAAAGTGGGGGGGGGGGGGATGATGTTCTTGTATATTCTTTCGTATGGGGCTTCGTGCGGACGGAGTAGGTAGCAGCTTCACTTGAGATATTTTAGAGACGATTTGTGTTGTTTGGGAAAAGAGATCGTTTGATCATTGATCGGCTACGTTATCGAAGGCCTTGAGAACGTTATCGAAGGCCTTGAGATATCATCGTGAAACTGACTGGCCCGTCGTAATTGTGGAATTCCGTTCGTCTACGTCCATCTGGATTTGAACTCGGTCTGTATTTCAACATTTTGTGGGTGTAGCAACTGAGCTATCTAGGCGGGTCCGTCTTTCCTGGGTCCGTTTTTGGCCGTGTATTTCTACGGCGACCCGACCCATTGTAGGAGTCTGCTGCGAATCATACGTCCTGGAAGGATGATGTTGATTCCAAGGTGTGAAATGGCGTTGCTGGAGTGCGGATTGTGATGGTTTTCGGGGTCCTGATGAACTGAAGATGATTTTGAGTTATTTGGTAGTCGTCATTTGTTTGTGTTTTTTTAAAGATGGCAGGTTTTTACAGATTCATGCGTGTCATCCTTCATGCGTGTAATCCCTGCGCAGAGGCGATGCTGTATAGCTTCAATTTTAACTGATGTCCCGAAGAGCTGGTCGTGGTTTTAAGAGGAGACGCTGATGCTGATTATGGTGGTTGATGGGATCTATATGGAACCGTTTATGTGACTCTGGGAATTGGAATGATGACTGCTTGATTGGACTTTATATTTTATAGTTTTATGAAATCGATTATAGAAAATGAGCTTGGTTTTCCGCATGGTAGTATGTGTGCCAGCTGATGGAGAAGGCAATGAATGGTTGGCTTGGGACAGCAAGAAATGTATCAGTACATACCATTGGACTGAGATGACTGCTTTGTTGAACTGATAACGTACTGTGTAGTGTTATGAAATCCATTATCGAAAATGAGCTTCGAATGGTTTGCTTGGCTTGGAACAGCAAGAAATGTAATAGTACACGATTCGATGCCTCAGGGCAGAGGTGATGCCTTAGGGTAGAGGTGATGCCTTTGGGTAGGAAATTATCAACGATGGGGTGGGCTTCGTGACCGATGGTATGACGGTGTGAAAAGCATGCAGGTACTGCATCTGGAAGTAGGCGACAACCAATAATCGTTGCACTATTGAGATCTCCCTCTTTCTTTCCTTTTCTTCCTCTCATCCTATCTCCATCTCTCCCTCTCCGTCTCTTCCTGTCTCTCCCTCTTTCTCTCCCTGTCTCCCTGTATCCTATCTCCCTGTCTTCCTGTATCCTATCTCCCTGTCTCCCTGTATCCTATTTCCCTGTCTCCCTCTCTGTCTCTCGCTCCACCTCTACCTCACTTCCGCTCGCATCTGCTCGCTCTTTCGAGATACTGTCTTTTCATCCCCCTAGTCCCTCTCTCCTCTCGCCCTCGGTTTTTAATCTGTCACCGCTGTCGCCGTCTCCCTGTCAATCCGTCTCTCGACTCCCTCTTTGGTCCCTCTTCCTCTCCCTCTGTTTCCCCGCACGTCCTCTCCCTCGCAATCCCCCTTGCTCACCCACACGTCCCTTCCCCCCATCGTCTCCCCCACACCTCCCCTCCCCGGTTATCTCTCGTGCTAACCCACTCTTCCGTACTCGTCTCTCCCTCCGTTTCCCTCCCTCGCTCTCCTGTCCTGGCCCCTCCTGTCGCCCTCTCCCTCGCTCTCTCTCTCTTCTGATTATCGTTGTGCTCGATTAACTAACCAATCAATTAATCCATTTGTGGAGGCAATGAATTTGGGAGATCTTGGTTGCTGCTCTCTGACGAACGTGTCTTTATTTTCACTGATGTACAGGTTTTGCTCGACCAGGCTGGGCGGTCTCTGTGGCGCGCAGCTACTTATGATACGTGACCGGGAATTCACTTGACTCGTGTATGTGCAACTCCACACCGGCATACTCGGCGCCCGTTTGTGCGCAAAACCCTCTCTCGTCGTCGTGTGCCTGCCTCTGTCCTTTGATTGCCAGTTTGATCTCTTTTTGCAGACTCAGAGAAAGGGAGAAAGGGAGCCATGGCTGACGAAGAGGTTTCTGCTCTCGTTTGCGACAATGGTTCGGGTATGGTGAAGGCTGGGTTCGCTGGTGATGATGCCCCTCGCGCTGTTTTTCCCAGCATCGTCGGTCGGCCGCGTCATCAAGGCGTCATGGTGGGTATGGGCCAGAAGGACGCTTACGTGGGAGACGAGGCTCAATCGAAGAGGGGTATCCTGACTCTGAAGTACCCTATCGAGCACGGCATTGTCACTAATTGGGACGATATGGAGAAGATCTGGCACCACACCTTCTACAACGAGCTTCGTGTTGCACCGGAGGAGCACCCTGTGCTCCTCACGGAGGCCCCTCTCAATCCCAAAGCCAATCGGGAAAAGATGACCCAGATCATGTTCGAGACGTTCAACGCCCCGGCGGTTTATGTGGCCATCCAGGCAGTTCTGTCGTTATACGCAAGCGGTCGCACGACGGGTATCGTCCTCGACTCTGGCGACGGCGTGACGCACACTGTGCCCATCTACGAGGGCTTCGCTCTGCCGCACGCCATCTTGCGTCTCGATCTTGCCGGTCGGGATCTCACCGACTACATGATGAAGATCCTCACAGAGCGCGGGTACTCTTTTACGACCAGTGCGGAGCGGGAAATTGTACGTGATATCAAGGAGAAGCTGGCCTACGTGGCCGTGGATTTTGAACAAGAGCAGTCCACTGGCTCCCATAGCTCCTCTCTGGAGAAGAGTTATGAGCTTCCTGATGGGCAGGTGATCACGATAGGTAGTGAGAGATTCCGCTGCCCTGAAGTGCTCTTCAATCCCGCCTTGATTGGGATGGAATCTGCGGGAATTCACGAGACCACGTACAACTCCATCATGAAGTGCGACGTGGATATCAGGAAAGATCTGTATGGGAACATAGTCTTGAGTGGAGGGTCTACTATGTTCTCGGGCATTGGCGACCGCATGAGCAAGGAGATTACAGCGTTGGCGCCTAGTACGATCAAGATCAAGGTGGTCGCCCCGCCGGAACGCAAGTACAGCGTCTGGATCGGGGGATCGATCCTTGCCTCGCTCAGCACTTTCCAACAGATGTGGATTTCCAAAGCCGAATACGATGAGGCTGGACCTTCTATCGTGCATCGCAAGTGCTTCTGATCTTCTCTCTCTCTCTCTCTTCTTCGTTCGTGCTCTCTCTCTCTTCTTCGTCCGTGCTGTCTCTCTCTCGCCTTCGTTCGTGCTGAAACCGACACCTATATTGGTTGATTGATTGATTGATTGATTAATCTACTTTGTCATTCATTGGTCATTTCCAACCGGCTCTCTCTCTCTCTCTCTTTTCTCCCCCCGTCTTTCGTGCTGAAACCGACACCTATATTGGTTGATTGATTGATTGATTGATTGATTGATTAATTTACTTTCTCATACATTGGTCATTGATTGATCAATTTCATCTAACCGGGATTAGATTATATGTAGTATGGAGTTCCATGACTACGTGTAGGTCTCTTTATTCCTCCTCCGGCGGCCGACGTCCCTTTACTGGCACATAAATTATTGGACCTCATATACTACCAGTTCGCCCGAAGGTAAGTCGGGTCTTTTACCGTCTTTTACCGGTCTACGCGGTAAGAGTTTCACCGTCTCATGCCTGGGCCGTTAACGACCTGTGGAGGGCGCTAAGAAAATCCCCACGTGGAGGCTCTCTGTACCCTGGGAAGTTACTTTCGTTACACTACGCTGGGGTGATCTCGTGGGTTATGATCGGTTCTTCGTAGTTTTTTCTATACTAACTCTTGTCTGGTTGGGTCTTTATAGGTTTTTTCTGGACTAACTCGTCTTGTGGCTGAGTGTGTGAGCATGCCTGTGTAGGGTGTCATTCCTTCTTCGTTCCTCGACTTATACATTATTTGCCTTTTTGTCGTGGATTGGTATTTCTGAGAGCAGACGTTATGCGCTGGATATGCGACCGGTGGCGGTTGTGGTTGGTTCTTAATAGTTTCTCTAGACTAACTCTTGTCTTGTGGTTGTGTGAGCATGTCTATGCAGGGTGTCAAATCCTTCTTCGTTCCTCGACTTATACATTATTGCCTTTGTCGTTGATTGGTATTTATTTCTGAACGCAGACGTCATACAGTTAGTTGGATCTGCTTGCTCATCTGCTTAAGAGCTGTCTCTTATACACATCTAGATGTGTATAAGAGACAGGTCCTTAACTGACACCAACCTTCGTTAAACGTTATTGTTGATTTCCTTCAGACATTATTTTTAACCTATCGTCGATATTTATCTCATCGATACTATTACCGTAGGGTGGATTTGCGTGGTTGCCCTTCGCTTTCCTTTCTCTTTCTTCCTGATCTGGCACAATTAACCTCACACCCTGATGTTTATATACTTTTAACTACCACCATTGTCTTGTGGCGGTTGTGGGTGTTTGGCGATGTAGGAGATGTATTCCTCTCTCGTCGCGGTGTAACACACGATGGGATGCTCACCTTTCTCTTCCTGCGATTCCTTTTCATTATTGGTGCAGGGTAGCCGTGGGTGTCGTATCCTTTCGACGACTCGTTCTCATGGTGGTGGTCCTAAATAACTGACAAGAGGTATGGATGCTCTCGTCTAGGAATATCTTGGGATAAAGGGCCTCGCTCCACTACACGACACTCCACATGCATCTGGGCGTTTTTTGGACCAGGTGCATTTGGACGATCTAACATTTCGAATGCATCAGGTCCAGGAAATTTAAATGCATGTAGAAGGATGTATAGTGGAGCGAGGCCCAAACACCCCTTCACTCACTCAACTTCAATTACACGAAGATAGAAACGTGAACAATTCTCTAATTGATGTCTTGGTTCATCTGATTGTCTCTTTTTATTGTGTGCATGCTATGCTATGCTTTAAACAATGCATCATGCACTGATCTGGTGACGATTTGCACCTTCAACTTTGTCACATCTTCTTCTTTTTTGTTGTCGTTGGTCCGATGGACCACGGATCAGGTATTATTAAACTGGCATCTTTCCTTACTTCTCCGGGTTTTTGTCCTTAATTGACTCTTCCACAATAAGTGTTTGCTGTCGCAGGCAGTAATTAAAATTTTGTGTTCCTTTCTTTAGTGTTTCCCACGCCATGCTTTGTCATATTCCTTGTTGTTGTCTTCAACTTATAGCTATAGGTAGTATAGTACACTAGTCGTTATCAATCAGACGTGGAAAAGTTAATCCATGTTTGTGAAGGATATGGGAGGCGGCAAGTGTGATGAATCGCCACAAGCCCATTGACCAAGTGCTGAAGAGATTGGTGCAAGTGGCAGCTGGGTAGAAGTGATCATTTGCAGTTAATATGCGAGATATTAGCAATGCTGAGGAAGAATGGTAGAGCCTTGGATGGATGAACAGAAGGGGAAGGTACAGAAGTCAAGGGAAGGAAGGAAGGAAGGAAGGAAGGAGGTTGTGAGCGAAGTGAGGTATCACCATACTTGCATCGACGTATGCAGCCTGGATTGGAGTCATAGATAATCAGGCAGATAGATGTGTTTGGATTGGAGTCGTAGATAATCAGGCAGATAGATGCTTGAAAAGAGTCCCGGAGTGAAGGATGGAGCCTTGAACGGACGAACAGACAGAAAGAAGGGACAGACAGAGGGTAGGGATGGGCGAAAGGAGGAGGAAGGAAGGAAGGACGTTGGTAGGCAAGTGAGGAATCATCAGAAGAGCTTAGACGAACTTGACGGGATCGGAATGAGAGGTGGGAGGTAGGTGGGGGACTTTTGTGTGCGTGGTAAGGGTTTGTGGGCTTGAGGGCAGATCCTTGGACTTTGGACGCATGAACAGACTCGAAGGACAGAAGGATGGATGTAGAGCCTTGGATGGGCGAATAGACTCGATAATGGACAGAAGGTAGGGAGGGAGGAAGGGAGGTAGAATCTTGGATCGATGAGCAGACGGAAGGAACAGATGGTGGGAAAGATGGACGTCACCTGACGAGGGAGTGATGAATCAAGGGAAGGGTTGTGGGTAGATGTGAGCGTTTCCTGTTAATATGCCGACGCTCTTAGGACGTCTATTTCATCTTTTGAAGAGTGGACAGAGGAGAGTTGAAGGAACGAAGGAAGCTGGCTGGGTAAGCGGGGGTTAATTGTGGATATCATGATAGGCTTGATTGCTATAGGTAGAGGTAGAGGTGAGAGAGAAGTTTGTTTCCTCCGCAGGAGGATCGTAATAATGTTCTGGTGTTTTGTTGGGCATTGTAGCTGTTGCAATTCTGCATTGGCAGTCTGCTCACAGTTATCCAGGATTCCTTTTGATTGTGCACAGTTGAGAAGGTGCACTGATGAATCCTCGAACGTCGTGGAGGAAGGGGCACAGATGATGACCCCTTTAACGACGTGGATGATGACCCCTTTAACGACGTGGATGATGACCCCTTTAACGACGTGGATGATGACCCCTTGAACAACGTGGATGATGACCACTTGAACGACGAGGATGATGACCCCTTGAACGACGTGGGAGGGTTGGCTGAGGTGTGCAACATTTCATCGACTCCTGAGTTTGAAAAAGATTTATGTAGAGAGAATTGTCATAATGTGAAATGTCAAATTTGTCGTTACTTGAAGGACGGAAGTGCTTTTCTGAGTCATTTCTTCTTCCTATTAAAAGCAGGTCCATACGGCCCCAGGCTCCATTTCCATTCTGGGGAGGATCAGTCCAGATCGTGTGCTGCATTTTTTGAATTTTTTCATATATGTTTTTGGTTTGCCTTTAGCGGGATTAGTTGTTTCCGGCAGGCAAAGGACAAAAAAGGAGTTTCTTTCTTTCTTGGTTTTGTGGGTTTTGTCGGCCTTAGAAATTTGCTTTGCTTCGTAAGGCCCTCGCCTGACCACTCTCGAAATGTGAAAAAGACAAAAATGTGGCTGGTGCATCTGGCCATGTTCTAGCGGGAAGTTCATTCGCATTTTGCACATTTCGAGAGTGATGTGGCTTCTGCTACCCACTTATGCGTTTGTCTTTCTGTTTGTCCATCTTTGTCTCTTGCCGTTGCTTGTGCTGCTGCTTCTGCCCTTGTTCTTCCGCTCGCTTCTGCTACCCACTTCTGTGTTTGTCTTCCTGTTTGTGTGTCCTTGTCTTTTGCCCTTGCTTGTGCTGTTGCTTCTGCCGTGACCTTCTTTCCATTTGTTATGCTGTCAATTGCTGCCTGTGTGGTGGTCGGCTATAAGAGGATAATGGTTTGTTGGTCGGCTATAAGAGGATAATGGTTTGTTGCTGACTACATCGCCTATCTTGTAGCTTGTGTGGCTCTGTGCATGCGCCTGCATTTCTTCCAGCCGACTGTTGCCACGTGAATACGTCTGGTCCTTATCGCAGTATCCTAACTGAAAGGCCGCCCACGATACACAGCTATAATGATCGGGCGTTCGACATCCACGTGGGCGGCCTTGTACGCAAGAGGTTCTGAACAGGGGGAGTTGTAAGGAAGAAGATAAGAAACTGAATACATTTTTGCTTGTTTTTTTCTTTTTTTCTTTCGCATTTGTGCTCTGATATTCTTGTGACAATATATGTGGGTGAGTGATAGTCTACTTCGATTTTGGTTAAGGTAGATTATCATTTACAGTGTAATCAGTGAGGGGATTCTGCAGACTGTTGAGGTTTCAGCCTCCTGATGAGTCGGTGAAACTCCGACGAAACAGTTTGTCACAGCCCCTCGTTTGTTGTCCTCTTCTCTCTCTCTGCCTACTGTTTACCGGGCAGTTCTGTTTGTGACGATATATATACGATATATATAAGAGTCGGTGAAACTCCGACGAAACGGTTTGTCACAGCCCCTCGTTTGTTGTCCTCTTCTCCCTCTCTGCCTACGGTTTACCGGGCAGTTCTATTTGACGATATATATATATATATATATACCGGGAAGTTCTATTTGACGATATATACCGGGCAGTTCTATTTGACGATATATACATACTCTTTCTCTCAATATATCTCAACACCACCTGGCAGGGATCTTTTGGAATAGTCTTGTCCATCATTTTTTACTTGGTTCCTGACTAGTCCTAACCCCCAGTGAAGGATGGAAAGGAAGGGCCGCTACCTGTGGGGCAAGCCAAGGGGGGAACCACTCAAGGGGGCAATAGTCTGTCTGTCATTTTTTCCTTGTTTCTCTGTCTAGTCCCTGTCTCTTATACACATCTAGATGTGTATAAGAGACAGGACTGGGCTGTCTGGTCGTCATCAGACGTTCTGACACTTAGGCTCGCTGCACCACTCATGGAAATGTGCGAAATGGAAATGAATCTTCAGGCAGAACGTGGATAGATACACCAGTGACGTTGTTGGCCTGTGTTGTCTGTTCCACACATGGAAATGTGCCAGTCTTGTTGTTGGCCTGTCTTGTCTGGTCCTCGTCAGATGTTATGACTAACGTGTTCTCTGCACCATGTACGAAGTTGTGCAAAACGGAAATGAATCTTCACGCAGAATGTGGAAAGATGCACTGTTATGTTGTTGTCTTTTTTCTCCATTTCGTGAGTGGTGCAGCGATCCCCTATATATCTGTCATTACGTTGTTTGAGTTTCTCTGGCCAGTAAAGGAAGCTGTGTGTCCTTGCAATCAAATCGAGGGCGAGGCAGAACGAGTGTTTCTCTGCTAATACAGCTCAGACTGTTAGGTCTGACATCGCGTTGTTTTGCTTGAGCTCGAGAAGAATGCGCATGCTTGTGGTTGGTGCTTTTGTTTCCCGGGGCTAGGTCCCACTTGCACGAATTAAGAGATACTGACCGTAGATAGCAAAGATCAACGGCCGAAATCTCCTAATTTGTGCAAGTGGGATCTTGCGCCCGTTACAGAGCGATTTCTGGTGTTCGGTTGTGCTTTGTTCTACAATTTGAGCCGCCCATTGTGGAACCATCGGGAACCAAAAAATTGCACTGCGGCAATCTGTGTGGAAGTGGCTGCAGTCGACTCCGTACACCACAAAATTTGGGAATAGACTCACTCAATAGAGTTGTGTGTCCAATGTCCGAAGTGTTAATCGTAAGTTACCGAAAGCACATCTTCCCAAGTTCCCAAGCCCTTTTGAGAACTGAGGCAGAAGGTTTTGGTGCCAAGTCCATTTTCGTTTTTTGTAAGTCTTTTTCTTTTCTTTTTCTGAAGTCCAGTCACAACTTTGTTTTCGGCATCCAGAATCGTCCTTTTTAAAAATTCTTTGTGTGAATATCTTTTTGCGAGAAGATCAGCATTGAAATCTGTGTCCAATGGTCAGGCCCCACCTACGAAAGCGATTGTGTAGTTGACAACAGGGTCGGATGCCTAAATAACAGCGAGTCTGGAATTTGGTAACATTGGTCGGTAACAAAAAGAAGGAACCAAGTAACTGAATGAATAGTGTGGAATTCTTAGGGGACTTTAGAGTGCATCTTTGCTCTAATAATTCCATGTTCATCCAAAAGTTCCAGTGAATGAATGGCACATACCTTTCCGTCCAGTGGCCGCCTACAATCACATGTGGCAGATGAAGAATCACTCACTGACATCATTGGACTTCACTTCCAGACATCTATGACCGATGTAGCGGCCTATACTTTCTGTCAAGAGGGCCCGGCAGCAAGAAGCCCCGGCATTGAGAATGGTACCCGTCGTAGCTACCCAGCTATCCTTTCTGTCAGGAGGGTTGGCAGCTAGAATGTCAGCCAACCACAAAGGCACTGATGCCCTTTGTAGTGGGAAATGGCAGCCCTCGGTGCAGGTCTTTCCGTGTTAATGAACAGCAATAAAACTACCCAATAGTAGAAATGGGTGTGTTGGGCCGTGCTACACCTGGCAGGGGCCGTGCTTGTGGCGTACAAACCCACACACTGCAGATCGCTGCGGTGGGGGGACTCAAGCCCAAGAGATCTGTTAGGTTGCTTTCACAAATGTTATGAGGGCGAAAGATTGGTAACTGGTGCCGGTTTGGAGATCCACTGAGGTCGGGTCTTTTTTTTTTGCAATAAAAACAAGTGGATCCGGTGCAGTGTAGAGGAGGGAGGACTGCAATTGGGGGGGGGGGGGAGAGCATATGGCCAAGCACACTGCATGCCGAGGTGGCAATCAGCGGGATTACTGCTCATTGCGATGTCAGCATGCCCGGAACAAAAAAAGAAGTCACACAGCATGCTGTTGTAGAAGTCAGCAGGATGAAATGAGATTCTCTCTCTCTCTCTCTCTCTCTCTCTCTCTCTCTCTCTCTCTCTCTCTCTCTCTCTCTCTCTCTCTCTCTCTCTCTGTGTGTGTGTGTGTGTGTTGTGGTTGGGTTTATATTCTTCATGATCTCCATGGAGATCAGCCTCGTCTTCGATGGTGGTGATTCCCTTCTGTGCACTCGTCCCATTTACCCCCATCTCTCTCTCTCT